AAAGTGTTGGTGGAGGCCAGATGTGAAATGCCATCAATGTGGACAATTAGGGCATGTGGAGAAAATCTACAAGTCATCAAAGATATAAGAGAATGTACAAGCTGTTGTTGAATAGGGTGAAGAAGAAGATCTTTTTGTTGTTTCTTGCTTTGCCACTGCAAGATCAACAGAAAGTTGGCTAATTGATAGTGGTTGCACGAACCACATGACTTACAATAAAGAATTATTCAAAGATCTTGATGCAATCTACAACACAAATGTCAGAATTGGAAATGAAGCAAAAATAGTAGTGAAGGGCAAAGGAACCATCGTGATCGAAGGTTGCACAGGTTTGAAATTAATTACTGATGTTCTATACGTTCCTGAAATTGATCAAAACTTGTTGAGTGTTGGCCAACTTCTAGAGAAAGGCTATAAAGTTATATTTGAAGATAAAACCTGCATGATTAAAGATTCAGATAATAAAGAATTATTCAGAGTTCAAATGAAAGGCAAGAGCTTTGCTTTGAATTAGATTGATGAAGAGCAGTTTGTTGTGGGTTGAAGACAATATGCAGGTACAAGGGCTTCCTCAACTAGAAGAGAAATCATCTGTATGCGTAACTTTGCAATATGGAAAACAAAAAAGGTTGCCTTTTCCAAAAGATAAATCTTGGAGAACAACAAACAAACTGCAGGATTTCAAAAGACCTAAAAAAACCATCTCTGAATGACAAGAAAGTAGAGCTAGTGGGTGTTAAAGTTGGTGAAAGTCAAAATGAACCAAAAAAATTAGAGGAAGAAGAGTAGCCTAAGACAACTCTTTCCGAAGCAGAAGTTGAAAATGCAGAAAATCCAAAAGAACAACCACAAGTAAATGAGGAAGTTGCGGAAGATTGTAAGGACGTGAAGACTAAGAAAAAAATTGTGATCAAGATTTCCAAAAGTGAAAGAACTTTAGATATTACGATCAAGGACGAAAAAACTTAGCATATGCTGAGTTTGAGTCAAGGAGGAGATTGTTGGAATTTGGTGACTCAAACGGTATTTGGTTGAAGTAGTCAAAGCAGTTAAATAAAAATATGTTTCTATCTTATTTCTTAGAAATATTTTATGCACTATTTAATTAATTAGTTTAGAAGATATTTTCAAAGTTCGTTACAAATTATATAGTATAATATTTACTGCTTATGTTCAATAAAATATATCAGTTTCTCTTTTATTCTTTTGCTTCATATACTTTAAAACACAACAATAATCTTATTAACTTAATAATGTTAATTTTTTTTATGTATTCATGCATTTGAGTTATTTACATCATTCGACGTATCAGATGCAAGTTTCGAATACTATTTAATAAGTAATAAATATGTTAAAAAGATTGTATGCATTTATTTTTAAAAACTGATGATCAAATAATTTAAAGTGTAGGACAAAAATAAATTATAATTTCACACCTAAATTTTAAAACTAAATCCAACTCTTAAAAAATAATAAGCCAAATTAATTCTTTTTTATTGTATGAGCATATATAAAATAAAAAACAAAATATAAACCAATTCACTTTCCTTATCAATCTATAACAAATTAAGCCAGCATACAAAATTTCTAAAGTATTAAAGGGATATCAGATTAAAGTTTTCACTCCGCGAAAAGTGTGCAATTTCTAAGAAAAAAGTGATTATATATAGATAAAGTGAAAGGATATTTGATTTTGGAATGTAGATGTTTGAAAGATTGTGGTTGTAATATAGGTGTGTAAGTGTAGGGTGTGGTATAGATTTCCAAAGAAGGTAGTTTAAGAGTGCGTGTGATAGCACAGTGGTAATTTAAGAGAGCGTACAGACAAAGATGCAAGTGTATGTGTGAGTGTCAGAGTGAGTAATTGAAAAGACGTACAAACATTTGCATTGCAATCCAAGGCTTGTTCCATCATCTGTCCTGCACTGCACCATGGCTCCAACTTCGATGTGGTCCAATCATAACCCTATCAATTATTACTTACATTTCTTCTTTTCTATCTCCTTCAAATACATTTTACAAACTTACCCTACCACACTTCTTATTTTTTTATCTTTTCATTCATCCATATATCTTAAAAACAATCAAATCTATATACTAGAAGTTCATGTTGTTGTTTTCCCTTTTTATCAGTACACTAGAAGTTGATGTTTTTACTTGACAATGAGTAGAGGTCTCGTGAAAGTTCAGCAACTTTTTGTTGGTTCATTGATTCATAAATTAAAATGTTCAAGACGTGGATCTAGTTTTTGTAAGAGCAATTCTTAAAAGCTGCCAAATTCTTCCTTTTGTATATATGTGTGTTACATGGATAGATTAGGTATCGGGTGAATTGTCAAAACTCTTCTTTTTAAGAATAGCTATATACTATGAAACGTACTTCATGTGATTTTGAATGAGAAATTTGGCCGGTGTCTCTATACATGTATGGCTTAAAGACCAATCAAGCTTAAAAAAGTGAAAAGTCTAATTTTAACTTAAAAGTTTATTTTAGAAAGATATTAAGATGTCAACTTGTACCTAAAAGTATTTGGATAATCATAATTCACTAGTGGAAAATATACTTTTTATAGCTAATTTTTATACCTGTTAAAATTTCTTAGCTATAGAAAGTTATGTGGTGGCAATTTTGTAAATATGTGAAATTTTTTTACACCGGTTATAATGAAATCAGGTATAAAAACTGATACGGTGACAAAATTGTAAAAAATACAAATAGCTTTATACCGGTTGCAATGATAATAGATATAAAAAATCCTTTATTTTATACCTCTTAACCTTAAAATAGGTATAAATTATTGATCTACACCACTTGAAAATTATAACAGGTATGGATTATTTACATATTCAATTTCTTTTCCCTCCCGCAACTCTTCTTCCTTAGTGAAATTTCTTTTTCATTCTGTCTCATGTTCTCCCTCCTTTATTCTCCCTCCTTTCTTCCCCATCCTTCGTTCTCCCTCCTTCCTTCTCCTCCATTCTTCTTCATTCTCCTGCCATTGTTATCGTTCGTTATTATTATTGAAGTTGTCGAGGTGGTTGGGTGAAGCTATTGGTCCACGTTTGAAGTTGTTCGTCCGCGTTTCAAGCTGTGTGGGTGAAACCCTTGCCGTGGTGTGCCGTCGTCAGGTGGTCTGCCATGGGTGGTACATTTTTATGACTTAGGGTTTATACTGATAATTCTTCTCCAAATTTTCTGTTAAGGCAATAAATTTTGCTTGTATCATTGTGTGCAAAATATTTATGTTGTTGCAGACATCTGTTTCGTTGTTTTATATGTTGTTTGGCTGAGGAAGTGTGCAATTGCATACATATTCTTTTAGATCTAAGCTAGGGTATCCCTCGGTGACTGCTCCATTATAAGAAACTAAAAACCTTATCCTAAAAGTAGTAGAGTAGAGAGGTTGGTGGCTAATATGGTGTTCAAGGTATTGAACTTAGGGTGCTACGACTTTTTTCTTTACTATTGTGAAGGTTATTCTTCATACCCAAAACCAACCAGAGATTCATCAAACAGCTAGAGTTGCTTTTCGTGTTGCTCGTAGAAATCAACACATCTGAGTTTTTTTGTATTCTTAGAAAGCCATTAACTATTCATGTCGTCTAATTAAGCTAGTATCATGGGTAATCTGAATAGCAGAATAGATCTAGCTAGTTAGCTTTAATTCTAATTTTACTTGTGTTGTTTATTTTGTACATCTTAGTTGATCAGGGACGAAACTTTTGATTAACTTTGTAAGATACTTTAGCTCACAAAGGAATAACAGAGGCAATTATTGTGGTATTATGTTGCAGACTTGTCATTTGAAATGCCTCTTATCGGATGATACTTTTACACCACAAAACACAAAATTTAATTTATTTAACACTACAAAGTAATAATGTTTTGATTATATTTATATTATTAAAGAGGTGTTGAGTTTAAGAAGATCCTCAAACAAATTTTTTTCACTCTTATTTACTTTACACAATAATACCATGAATTCCAAATAAATTTATACAATCACTTACATTCGTTGTTTTGTTCATTTTATTTTTAATTATAAAAATATGTTTTTGATAATTACATTATTCTTGAAAATAAGTTATCCAATAAATATAATTATAAAAATATTAATTTTCAATGATAAAACATTCTTCAAGGTATCCAAATCACATGTGCAGTTCTTTTTTCAGCTTTGCCTTTTCCTAGTTTGATCAACTCACACAGTTTAAATTCGTTTCTGACCATTATATTAAGTAACAAGCATTTAAACAAGCTAGTTCTGCAATTTGGAATGTGAAGGAAAGGTTTGCAATGACTCCAGAACAGATTGACAAGAATTTTAGCAATGAACTAATGTTAAACAAGATTAAAAACCAGAAAATGACTCACGTGGTATTAAGGAGTGATATTTATTCTCTTGAATCACATTTTGCTACTATAAAGTTATATATAATAGGAACTGATCATCAAGGACAATTATGGAAGTTATGTGTAGAATATAATTGTCAGTAGTTATGTATAAAGAGTATATATCTGATAGTAGGTTGTTTAAACAGGCGTGAAGTTTTTTGCTGTTTAACACTCAATATGTTGTTCACTCTAACTGTCAATGATACTTTGGTTAATCTTGGCTTATCTTTAGTAAATTTAAACGTATCAACTTGTGTACTTTAAATTTGTTTAAGATCCAAATTTCAGATTTCTTCCTTTGATGGATAGAACTTTGTTTAGTTGATATAAGGTAGAATTGCTACTCTCTTATATAACACTTTGAATCTAGTTTGGAATCTGAATTATGTGATGAAAACCTCTTGAAATTAGTCTTGGAAAAGTGATTGGATCTTAGTTATGTTTAGACGTGAACCTTTGAGTTCATAAGTTCCTCCTTGTTTATGTTGGTTTGTTTGTTTGTTTGTTGAAGAAGTTAGTAAAAGTGAAGAAAGTTGAGAATACAAAATTTCAAGTGTTTGTTTGTTTGTGCTTTTCATATTTTTTCTTACTGGTTTTGGTTTTTTTGGGTTGTGTTGTGTGACTAATATGTAGTGTTATTTGTGTTGATGAGTGAGCAGAGAAATGAATTGTGGTATGGTCCAGACAGAGTGAAATACTTGGGACCCTTTTCAGCTCAGACTCCCTCTTATTTGACTGGAGAATTCCCAAGGGATTATGGATGGGACACTACTGGATTGTCTGCTAATCCTGAAGCATTTTCCAAGAACAGGGCTCTTGAGGTCAGTCATTTTGCTTACACTGCTATAAAAACATTTCAGTTCTTCATATATAGGATCAAATTTCATAAGGTTTCATGTCAGCATAAACAAAACCATTCATCAAGTTTCATTAACATGAAAAATATTTGCTTTTCCTGACACAACATTGTTGGCTCTAACTGGTTTTTCATCTAATCAAAGAAGCAATATCAGTAATGTTCCTTCATAAACATCTAGTTCTAGTATCCCTCCACACCATAAATTGCTCTCTGCAATAAAAGTCATCTGCCTCTAATCCTATTGGGGCCTCCGATACGAGTACCATAACTCGTCTTCCACGCCATGTTACATGGAAGAGAGCTCGTCAAAGACCATCTGGGGAGTACACATCTGAGGAAACCGCGAGCATAGCTAGGCGCATTGTAAGTTCATATAATAACAACATATGATCTCCCATATGTGATTAACTTAACTTTAAATATTTGGTTGTAGGATGAGTTAGTCGAGCAGAGCACACAAGGTACATTCACTCCCGAGGGTCGTGAGGACATATTGGCAGTTGCCATTGGTCGTCCAGAGCATTCTGGACGTGTTCGAGGTGTTGGTAAATTTATTGGCATTCGTCAATTCTTCGGTCCTCCAACAAATCATCATAGTAAAGCCCATGTTAGTGAGGAGGTCCTCAAGGGTATAAGAGAAGAAATTAGACAGGAGATGAGGGAGGAGATCAGCGAGATGAAGAAAGAGTACGGTGATATGAGAGCACAATTGAAGAAGGAGTACTCTGATATGCGGGCACAATTGTTAGCAGATGTGCGAGCAGAATTAGCCTCCTCCTCAAGCCAACCTAGGAATCTTCCTCAACCTTCTAATCTTTGTATAAGCACAAAGGAGAGTTGTGATGTTTCTCCTCAAAACGCTTCTCCCACTATTGATGCAGACTACGAGTTGTTTAGTGATGATGCCCTACAGTGCTTGGTGGCCTTAGGTAATTTATCTTATTATATTGTCTAAATGTACTTGTTTGTTGAATCATATTCTTTGATATATTTTACAAATATTATTTGGTTAACTTAGGTAAAATGTATACATTGGGGTCAACTATACACCATGAAACCATTACAGCTGATATGATGAGAGTGGTGGTTGTAGACGTACGAAATGCTACAGCTCGAGTCCCTGTGCCCACTGAGGATGTTCAGACAGTGGGACATGCCCTTGGAAATTTTATCCTTTGGCCCCTTAGATTATCAAGAGCAATTGTAAAGAAGGTAATTGTTTTAGTTATGCACTTTGTTGTTTTTATTAGTAATATTAATATTTTGTAAGTTTTTAAATATGTATACTAGGTTGAAGCACAAGGGCAGGAAGATATGAATGAATCACTGCAACAACAGTTGCAGCCGCCACAACACAGAATTCTAGAACAACTTGGTGTGTTGGCAGTGAAGATCTCCCTTTCTCCTATAGAGTTACAAATGCCTCCTGAAGTCACAAACAGGACATCTTCACTCTCTTTCTTCATATGTCAAAGGGATATTTTTGAAATTCTCTCTGGCACTGATATGTTATGTATATCAGTACTACAACTTTGGTTGTTGTAAGTAAATTTCTACATTTATGAAGTTTAAATATATTCAATATTTTATTCTAACATTATTCATTTTCAATGTTTAAGGTATTTACATCGGTTGACCATTGAAAAGAAGAATGATCACATTTATGGTTTTATTGACCCTGTTGCCATTCAAGGAGTTGGGAATAAAGGTGAAGAGGTCCAAAACTACCTCTTAGAGGCTTTTGTAAACGGAAAAAAGCAAGTGTACTTAGCACCTTATTTGCAACAGTAAGTATATAATTTTTATTAATAAAATTTTATTTATGTAAATGTTATTTAACACTATTATTGTTTGAATCTACAGGGGTCACTGGCAATTGTTACTAATTCTTCCTCAACAGTTTCTTATAGTTCTCTTATATTCATTGCACAAAAAACCTCACACTTTGGCAATTAAAAATACACTAATATTGTAAGTTTTTAATAATTTATTTGTAGTGTAGACATATCTGATTTTACTAAGTTCCTTAGGACTCATTTCAATGTACATTTAACTTTATAGAGTGGTTGAGGCATATTCAAGGTTGCAGGGAACACATATCGTCTCTAGAAAGAAGTTGCAGTTCATTGCACCAACTGTAAGTAGTTAATCTTTCAAACTATAAATACAATTATAAATTTTATGATACTTTATAAATTTAACTTGTAGTGCTCACGTCAACCGGGAAGCTTTGA